GCCGTTCTCACGGCGCACCGAAATCGCCGTTCTCACGGCGCACCGAATCCGCCGTTCTCACGGCGCACCGAATCCGCCGTTCTCACGGCGTCCCCGGACATCTCTCGCTACTTCGTAGCCGTCCTGACCCGTCGACCGCGTGCACCACGTTGTGCCACGACCCTACGCGCCCGCGCACCGCGTCTCCGACGCCGATCCGCGTAACCGCGTTCGCCGTAACCGAATATCCCTTCGATGTATATACTCGCGTCCCTCCCGTCTTAGCAAGTAAGTTTCCGTCCCGTTCCCGCATCGGCCGAGACCGATAAGCGACAGTGCGTCCGCACCAATCCCAGACCGCGAATCGTTAACTTGTAAGGGCGTCGAGCCCCGCGTCGTCGTGGTATTGTAAATATGTTCCCCGTTAGTCAGTAAGATTCTGTTCCGTAGCCGCGTCGGCAGAGACCGACCCGCGACCGTACGCGCGCACCAATCACAGGCCGCGAACCGTTATCCACGGGAAGTAAGTTCCCGTACCGTTTCCGCGCCGGCCGCTACCGACTAGCGATAGTAAGCCCGCGCCAATTACAGGCCGCGAAACCGCCGGACCGTAAGGGCTCCGAGCCCCGTCACTAAGACATTGTATATAGCTAGATTAAGAATATATTCTCATTGAGTTACAGCAGCAAACCGAACGTGTCGCAATCTCTTCCTTCCCCTCACCCGAATCCTGGTCTGACCGAGCTGTCCGGCAGGCGGAAGGCCGGGCAAGCCGCGCGTAACACGGCGGCTCCGTTACAAGACAGTACGCGGTTGTATCGGTGGGTACATTTTCTTTGCAGGTGAATTCAATGCGAATGTCAACAGTGGCGCTTTTGACCGTTTCGTTTTGGCGTGAACAGTCGATGACCACGAGCGGTTCGCAGTAGATGAACTTGTCCAACGTTAGAAGCGCCTCGTTCTCGTCGCATCCGTAGTAGGATCGTCTGAATTTGATGTACATGTCGTACAAAATGGCGTATCGTTTCTTACTAAAATCTAGATTCAAATCGTCGTAAGGATAGAATTCCGAATTCAGGAACAACTTTACATTGGATAAGTTGCAATGGTCGAATCGCGAACAATCTCGGCTGACAACATTCTTTCGGCCGGTCTGCAACGCAAAAATGATGTAACGCGGTTTTTCCAACTGTGTAGCCGCTTTTACAGCTCACGAATGAGACGTTGTGCTCTGTAACAGCGGATACTCATACAGATCCCACGAGCGAAAACCCATGGTCAAATATTGACCGCTCTCCAGAGTGCGCAACAGCTTCAATTTGTTCACATTGTTTAACACAACGTGTGGCATTCGCCACTGCACCTTGTGGAATTCCACCGCTGACCCGCTGTTAGCCGAAGCAAAAACGCTATTGTTGTCGTTGCGCGATCGTATCAGAATGAGTTTGTGTCTCGCGTTGATTACAACGCGTTTATAGTCTTTGCAGAATCCCAGCAATGTGCGGAGAGGTACGCAAAAATTGAATTCACCAGCACCTTTATTGGTGGACAAGTTCCATCCGGCATGTCGCAGAACGTTTCCCGTTTCACTGGTTAGAGACACATAGTTTTTTAACGTGCTCGTTACACCAGAGTTGCGATTTCGATCGATTTCCACACCATTGAGCTCGTATCTGATCTCATCGAACATAAACGCCACGCAATTGTTCGTCAACGCGGCGGCGGCAACCACGCCGCTTCTTTCCGCTGCTCCAGCGGTGGTTTGCAAACTGAACTTTCCCTCGACGTATAAGTAACTGTCGGACGGCAGAGTGTAAACATCCTGTTGTTGAATGGATATGCGTATCTCGTCGCTGTGACCGAACGATGTATTGGCGTACGGATTGTACGTGTGAGTCTCGATCTTGACGATACGATCGTCGAAGACTGGTTCACCACCAACGTTGAGTACGTCGTTTATCGTTGTTGTTGTTGTCACCGTTGTCTACTGCGTAACCCAACAAACGCAAAAATGTTGCGTTTCGCGCAGTCAACGTCGAACGATCGAAAACGGTAGAACTATCTCGTTGCGTTGTTTTTCGTTTTCTCG